AACATAGGCTCTGGTATCTCAAATTAAAAGACCTAGTCTACTCCATGGCCATTCATGGCTAGCCAGATGCTCCTGGGAAAGGCAGCGGTATGCTCTTGCACACATCCACCATCCTGTTCCCACGCAATGGGTATTCAGAAGAATACATGGAGTTACTAAAGTAGCTGTTGACAGCTTCGTTCCCCACTTCATCAGATGCTATGGAATATTATCTTCAGTTGGCAGGTGGTTCTATACTCACCTGCAGGGCAAAAGGAATTAAAAGTGGGATCATGTGGCATTGAAGTACAAAATATGTCTTATGTGATAGTTGGATTAAGTTACTATTTACCACAGCAACAGCCAATCGTACAACCGATATTGTGGTGTTGTTGTAATTGTCATAGATCACAGTATTTTAAATCCATTGCAGTTAGCTCTTCTACATCAGTATACAGGCAAGTCCTCATTTAACAACCACTCTTTCAGCAACTATTAACAAGCTACAACAGTGCTGGACAAATGGTGCAGTCCTTGATGTTCCAGGCATCCTAGAAACTCTGCAGTCATGGGATTATGATCTAGACAACTAGCTAGCACAGTGGTTCTCAACCTATGGGTCACGACCCCATTTGGGGTCGATCGACCATTTCACGGGGGTTGCCAAGCAAGGCTGTCCGCCATTTTTTCCCCCTTTTCCGGCGGATGCCTTACCTCCCTTGAGCTGGGCCAGCTGGTGGTCGGCCTGCTCCGTCTCTACCGCTTGCCAGCTACGCGTCAGCCGGCGCAGGGGGCGGAACCACGCATGCGCGGCGCTCCCGGGCAGGGAAAGTCCTCGACTTACGACCGGTTGGGTAGTCCTCGACTTACGACCGGTTTAGTCCTCGACTTACGACCGGTTGGGGGTCACGGCATTAAAAAGGTTGAGAACCACTGAGCTAGTACTTAGGATAGCTGCAGCTTCCCACGGTCATGTGATTGCCATTTGCAACTTTCCCTATGGCTTCCCATAAGCAAAGTCAATGGGAAAGCCAGCAGGGAAGGTTACAAGTCTCTCCAGTATGTTTCTTGCACCCCCCTCTGCAGCAGCCACATTGGGCTCCATAGTGCCACACCTTGTGGGCCACCTGACACCCACTCCACCAGGTAGCAGCCAGCCCCGCCATGCTCGTGTCACACCTCATGAACCACTCACTCACACATCCTCCCCCACCCAACAGCAACCACCCCTGGTCTCATCACCCTCTCACTTTGCCTTGTGTCATGCCTTACCTGCCTGCTGACCTGTTTGCAAGCTGCCCGGGGAGTCGCTTGACATTCCGCTTAACAACGGCAACAGGGACTGCCATCACTAAGTGATGCGGTCACCCTTCACAACTGCATTGCTTAGCGACGGAAATTCCAGTCCCAATTATCCTTGTTAACTGAGGACTACCTGTACATCTTATTCAACTTAAGAAAGCACCCATGCATCTGATTAATTGAGCCTTGTCTTTGGGAGCTTATAATACACTGTGTTCTTTTTTGAGTTTCTGCAGCCTCTTTATTGTGGCTGCTGCTCGAGATGAATAATAATAATAATAATAATAATAATAATAATAATAATAATAATAATAATAATAGTAGTAGTAGTAATAATAATAATAATAATAATAATAATAATAATAATGATAATAATAATTAATAAAAAGTTGGAAGGGACCTTGGAGGTCATCTAGTCCAACCCCCTGCTCAGGCAAGAAACCCTATACCATTTCGGACAAATGGCCGTCCAGTTTCTTCTTAAAAACTTCCAGTGTTGGAGCATTCACCGCTTCTGGAGGCAGGTTGTTCCAATGGTTAATTGTTCTAACTGTCAGGAAGTTTCTCCTTAGTTCTAAGTTGCTTCTCTCCTTGATCAGTTTCCATGATGATGCATTTGACCCATTTGAGACATCACAGTAAAAGGCAGGCCATTTTTCTTGTGCAAAAAGCAGGACAGCAGGTGGTGGGGCCAGGCCTCCTCCTCTCCTTGGTTGCCCACATGCATACAAAGAGGAGGGCCTTTGACCTCACTCCTTCTAGTGATTTTAATCAAGATCGTTGCTTCCCAGCTACTACTAGCAGTTGGGAATCGCATTCTTGAATCTCCTCCTGTTAACTGATAACTCTTCTGTGAGGAAAATGGACTGGAAGGTATCTGTGCTCAGAAGCGTGAGTGGCAATGAGTTCAGAAAAATTCACTTCCTCTTTTTAGTGAATTGCCCCTTGTTGTTTTTTCCAGGCTTAAGCTGTGCTTAATTTTCACCAGTTTTGTTTAAAAGAAACCTGATTAACTCATGATG